TTTAAAAGTTTTTTTTATGTCTTTTTGCATACGTATCAAATGATGTAGCTGGGTAATGTCCATGCTTTTTTAAACATAAATTTAGATATGTACTTCCATGAGTTCCTCTTTATGTGTTCATGAAAGCCAACATATTTAAAAGGTTGTTCAAACACCACATATATCTCATCATGGAGTAAAACATATTGTACAATGAGTCCACACAATGTGATGTGACCATTTCCATTCACATTGTCAGTTTTGTCTTCTGGATCAGTAAGTATATGTGAATATGAAGAATCACATGCAAAAATAACTGACTTTTCGTTTCCAATTTTTAGCATTGCATGTTCGACAATCTCTTTTTTAGTTCGGTTATAGAAAATATTGTGCTTCAGAATAGCCATCAGAGCATCTTTCAGTATCCATGATCGCTTAGTTCCTTGCATCACAAAAGCTACTGGACCGTTTGAAAAATTATGTTATAAAATCCCGTCAAGTTTTAAATAGCCTTTATTTATTTATATCCCAGCAATTTTAAGAATATTTGGGCAGGAGAAGTAGATTTTGTCATTGTGCAATGTGTAACCAATCACTTGTCCTAATATATGTATGTAGGCTTTTGAAACAATGCCAGAATCTGAGGGCAACTTCATAATTGTGATCGATGATCTCCCTTTCTTCATGTGATGCTTAGGGCATTCTCTACAATGATCAGATATTTTGTCTCTTTTGTGTTCTGTTCTGTTTGTCTTTAATGCATGTCTGATGTTCTTATTTTCCTTGCCACTTAATGATTTCATACTTTGACTAACATTTTGTGGAGAAGGTAAATTTATACTTATGGGGCTAAGAGGAACTCTCATTGCTTCAGGTTCATCTGATTTTTGCAGTATGTGAATTGAGCTGTTGTTGGCTTCACAGACGGAAAACTCTGTTAAATCATCATAAACATCACACGATTGTGAATCTGTAACAACTTTGTCATCGGATAACATTCCAATGGCAGGACTATCTTCTTTGAGGGATGGATCACCAAAACTATCTTTGCCAGTCTCTGGTCTTTTGATGGTGCTACATGAAGGCACACTATCACAATAGAAGTCCAACCAACTATGACTATGATTTTTTTCTTTTACTTGGGTGGGAGTCCCCTTCATGCATGTCACCTCGTCAGGTACTGTTTTTCTGAAAGTTTCATCGCAGGTTTCTTCAACATGTTTCAGACCTGTTGTGACTTTAGTACAGGGTGCATGCACTTTGGTGTAAATGAGTATGTGCACACCATCGTGAGTATGGTTAAGGGTGGTGTGAGAGCCATGCTGGAAACAACTCTTCGAAGCCATCAAATCTGCATGATTTCCCTTATGAGAGAGGACAGATACATATGTTTGTTTCATAGTAGCAAACTCTTCCTGTTGAGATAAAGCTGCCTTTAAGGAGGTATGAAAGCGAACAGTGTCTCTTAGGTAATCTATAATTATGTAACTGTCATCAATTTTAACAGCTGAATAGAAATGACAAGGTTTCACTAACACTGTTGCCGTGAGTACATATATATTTTCTCTCCCCTGAACAGTCACATATTTGTCTACAATGACATTAGGTCTTTGTTGATGTTTACCATTTTCATCTAGACCCAATGTCACCATGAGGAAATTTGGCATATCATACAGCCATTCATTATCAGCACCAGTCAGAGTTAAAGGCTTACAACAAAAATGGCACAAGGTACCTTTACACATTCGTTTGGCTGGTTGGTTAATGATTTGGTTAAGACCTCCAGCAAAGTTGCCAGGATAGTTTTTATTCACTGTCAAAGGCAATCCCACACTTCTTTTCGAATTTCACAAGATGAACCCATCGTATCATGAAACTGACAAACTCCAATCAATCTCTTAAGGAGTGGATTTGCACCACTCTCTGTGCAGTTTGGGTCAAAACAATAGATGCCAAAATAATATACTTCCAAGAGAGCATCTACACCGCACATGGCCCTCAGTATTCCATGATCATGATGGTGGCAATGCAATGCATTTTTGAAATTCTTAACAGACTTCTTCGATTCAAACTCGGTTACAGCATAATCCATAGTAAATGTAAATACATATAAAAGTGAAGATCGTGGCAGGAAAATTCTCTTTTGGAAGTTGACTCTGCCATATTTTTGCTGAATACAGTTTAATTTACTGAAGTTAGATAAAAGATGCGTGATCTGTATCTGGCCTTGTGGTATGGGTGTAGTTAACTTTCTACTGTTATTAAAAATAAGGGTACAATTTTTAATTTCAAATAAGGATTTCTTATTCTTAACCATTTCTTGGTATAATTGTAAGTTCTCAACATTTCTTGGGCACCAGTCATACAGTATAGTTGGCAGAGAACAGGCATCACTAAGTTACATTTTACAGGAAAGCATATGCTGTCTTAGAATTTCATATTTTCTGATTTTCATATCACTATGCAGCACAAAGCTGGTGATCAATCCAGCAATGAATGACCACAACCAGCAAAGAATGACATAAATCTGACATTTACTTTGTTCCAAGGACTGGTACCTTTAGCAGAGGTCGAAAGGGTAGGACTACTGGTTTATCACCACAAGGGGGTAATAAAAATTATCCACTGGAGAAAGCTGTCATTTCAGAATGGATGTTTTCTTTCGGAGTTAGAGAGGTCTAACTCGGATTCGTTTAAATGGGAGAAATTCGTAATGCTATAATTAGACACATACATGTACAGACACCCTGTTGTAAGACTTCAATGGCAAAACCTTAATTTCCACATTTTAAAATGTGCTAAAGGTACAAACCGGTGCATACTTTGTGTACATGTATGTGTAAAACTAGGTTTACCAGCACAATCAGCTCTTACACAATGATTTGAAGTAAGGACAAACCTTGCATTGTATTTATTAATAGTCAGAAAACTTCTTTCATTCACATCCCTTTTGCAAAAAGCATAAGAAAAGAATTGAAAGCATTTCAGATAAGCTGCCTCTTCTAACTGAAACACTGGTGAACGTCACCGGAAGAATTGTTTCACCACATTGTTTAAGTTCCATTATAGCCACAGAGCCTTGCTTTTTTAGTTTTACATTCAACAAAAGTTCATTTTAATCAGAGCCAGGCTTTATAATTTCAGTTTCTCGCCTGGACATTCAATAAAAATTCATTTCAATCAAAGGGCCATGCATTTTAGTTTCAGTTTGTTTCGCTGACATTCAATAAAATTCATTTTAATCAAAGAACCAGGTTTTCTAGTTTCAGTTTCTTGCCTGGACATTCATTAAAAATTCATTTTAATCAAACAGCCAGGTATTTTAGTTTCCGTTTCTCTCACTTACATTCAATAAAAATTCATTTTAATCAAAGAGCCAGGTCTTCTAGTTTCAGTTTCTCGCCCGGAAATTCAATACAAGTTCATTTTAATCAAAGAGTCAGGTTTTTTAGTTCCAGTTTCAGTAAATAATAAAAGTTCACAGCCTAACAGTTCTTAGAAACAGTAGGAACACCCTTAAAAACACTTTTATAGTGGTAATACATGTAAGAAGAAATAATGCAGTGCTCTCTTTATTACAAATTCAGTCAGGTTAAATATGTACAGTTCCACCTCAATAAGAAGAGAACTTTTCACAAAAGGTTCTTGTTACAGTGTGGATAAGTTTAGGTCTCATGTTTTTTATTTTTCCTTTTTTTTGTTTCTAATGATACATGTACTTGGTTCATGTTGTGAAATTTCAGGGACCTCTTATTGCAATAAGTTAAACATGGCTGATGTTAGTGAAAAGAAGGTTTATATATTGCTACCGCAGACATCTTCAGAGCTGTAAATGGCAACAAAAGGGCCCACCTAAAAAACAGAGGCCATTTTCATGTACATGTACATGTATGTGGAATTATCTTTTCTTTTTTCTTCCCATCAAACGGCTGATTGCCCTGTTATTGTTGCATTGACACATTCACGCCATTCCTGCTTTGTTTTGTCTGTGTGGCTGTCTCAGGACAAACTTAAGTTCCAAGACGTTTCGGTGGTCAAACTGTGAAGACTAGGCCCTAACGTTAGGCCTACAACATGTACACTTGACTCAGACTTCTGAGATCCAGTTCTTTATTAACCCAACTTGTTGGTATTCACAAAGTTCAGCTGACTAGGTTCACCAGGATGGTTGAGATGATCAATGGTAAATTGAGTTGATTGGAGTTTGAGATAACAATCTGTAAAATACAGAGAAAACCCAGAACTAAGTGAAAGTACATGTACATGTATATCCTCATGTGGTTTGAATAGAAACAGTAAGAATTCTCAAAGATTATAAACATGACACAGGCATGCCTAAAACTGACCTCAAAATGTCACTTTAGCTTCAAAGAACAAATACAGGCTATCAGAAAATAAGAAGGAAATACTAGCTTACCAAATTGGGCTCTCTTGGGAACAATCAGAGTTGAATAACTTCAAGAAAATCACTGGATATTACAAATGATGTATGACAATTTACAAAGCGCACTCGCTAAAAGCAACACATGAGGTTAAAACAAAGGAACTAGTGTGTGATGTGGCATACTGACAAACTTGTAACCACAATGCATGGTTGAAAGCACACTGGCATAGAGTAACCACAGGAGCTGCACACAGTTGCCACAGATGGTCCCGTGTACAAGGTTGCGCAATAAAAAACAAAGGTAGTCTCTTTCACTGCTCTAAAAAGGGAAAGTACTTGTGGGCTCTTTTACAAATGCAAAAACACATTATGCTGTAGTGTTGTTATTATTATAAATCCTAAATCTACATGCAATTAAACTTCTTAAGAAAACTCACTGCAAAGCAGCTGCAGTGACATGGCTCCTCTAAATACGTAAAGCTATTTAAACTAATCTAGCCTGCACCGTCGAAAGATGTGCACTTGTCTTCCCTTGTGAACATCTTGCACAGACTTTTCCTCTGATAGGCTGTAGTTGGCTCTTTAAATGGAAATCTACCTACTAATGAGTAACAGAAAGGTTAAAATAAAAGTTCCATTATGTAAACAGTTTGTCATCTGTAGTGGTCTTTTCTGGTAGGGTCTCTAGTTTTGGCTCTTCGGTGGGGACTTCCCTGGTCTCTTGAGTTTCAATCTGCGTCTCTGTAGCTGGCACCAACAGGACAAGCTTGTGCACTGGCCTATCAAGGAGTGATGGAGAGTATTGACGTCTTCCAAGGTTATCTCGTATGCCGTCTTCTGCTTGAAAAAAAAATGACCTGACTCTTCGGTCGTTGCTCGGATGGGTCTCCATTACGCGTCCAAATGGCCACTGGTTTCTGGTCTGTTCACCTTCCTTCGAGATTACGACATCACCCACCTGTAGATCTCTTTCTGGGTGCACCCACTTCTTACGTTCTTGAAGTTGATGCAGAAACTCCTTCCTCCATCTCACCCAAAACTCATTGGTCAAGTACTGGACACGTCTCCACCATTTGTGGGCATAGATGTCTTCCTTCTGGAACTTTCCAGGCGGAGGCAGAACCACCTTGGGTTTCATAGTCAACAGATGACTTGGTGTCAATGGCTCTGGTGCATCTGCTGAGCAGAGATAATCTGTTGTGAGAGGTTGTGAATTGATGATGCCTTCTACCTCAGTCATGAAGGTTCTGAAACTTTCATCATCCAATTGGATTGTGTTGCGGTACTGAGAAGAAGACCCTCTAATGTTCGGCGCACCGTGCCAATTTGTCTCTCCCATGTGGCTGGCATGTGGTGTATTCTGCTTGAATGGAATCCAGTCACAGTTGTTCTCTAACAAATACTGGTGAACTCTGTCCTGCTCCATCTCGGCTAGCACTTCTCTCAGCCCACTCCGTGCACCAACAAATGTTGTACCCTGGTCGGAGCGCAGTTGGCGTACCGGTCCTCTCCTGCTCTGAAATCTTCTGAGAACATTGATGAAAGAGCTCGCTGACAGGGAATTTGCTGACTCCAGATGAACACCCCTAGATGCCATGCATGTTAGCAACACCATAACGTTTCACTTGACTCCTACGCTCTTCAACCAGAAAGGGACCAAAGTAGTCAACAGCGCAATACGAAAATGGGGGCGCTGGCTCAAGCCGATCCACTGGTAGATCAGACATCTTCTGTCATAGCAATGATCCCAGGAGCTTGCGGCAGATCACACATCGAAATATATAGTTGGATACAGCAGACGATCTTCCTTGACGACCCAGTAACCTCCTTGGCGAATTTCATTGTGTGTTACACCTCTCTCCATGTGGTGCACCTTCTCATGGTAATGTCTCACCACTAACTCTGTGATGTGGTCTTTCCGAGGTAATATGGCGGGATGTTTCATTTTCACCGACACACTGGCTCCGTCTATCCGTCCTCGAACTCGGAGTACGCCTTTCTCATCTAGGAAAGGATCCAGTCTGTACAGGGAACTTGATCTCCTAATGGCCTGGTTCAGATTTCTCACTGACTCTCGGCTTGCGAACTCACCCGTTGTTTCACCTGTTGGAGAGCTTGGACTTCACTCTTGAAGTGCTGTAACTGAAGACTCTTGAGAATTTCTGTCTCCGCTTCTTCCATCTCCTCTACACTGACATGTGGTGGATGCACCGCAACTACTGGGACTTTATACCCGTTAACAACTTTACCTTGACGAAGTCTCGTTTTGTACCTCAGGCAATTCGCAATGGCTCTCTTGGCTCGATGCCATGTGGAGAATCGATCTAGTCGGCACTTCTCAAAGTAATCTGGGAACTGGTTTTCATTGGTAGCTTCTGTGCAGGTGGACAACACTGCAGCTTGCTTGACTTCAGGGTCAGCTTCGTCTAACTTTTGTGCTGCCACTTTGGGGGTTACTGTAGGCCCATCCATCTGCAAAAACTCTGGTCCAGTCAACCAGCAAGACTTCTCTACTAACTGCTTTACCATTAGTCCACGTGATGCCTCGTCTGCTGGATTGCAACTGGTGTCGACATACTGCCATGAATTGGGATCGGATGAGTCACGGATCTGCTGGACCCGGTTTGCAACGTACACGTGAAATCTTCTGGCATCGTTGGGTACATAACCAAGAACAATTTTGCTGTCAGTCCAGAAATATTCTTGTATCTTCTGGTAGGACAGCTCTGCACGCAGGAACTCACTCGTCCGCGTTGAGACAGTGGCGGCAGCTAACTCAAGCCTCATGAGAGTTACATGCTTCAGCGGTGTGACTCGTGCTTTTCCCATCACAAAGGAACAGTGGGCTTCATCTCTCATTTACCAAACGTAGGTAAGAACACTGTCCATATCCAACTTCACTTGCATCTGAAAAGCGATGAAGTTCGATGAGCTTTACATGGCCAAAATTGTCGGGTTTGTAGCATCGCTTGATTTGGAGTTGTTCTAGATCCAAGCATTCCGATCTCCATTTCTCCCACAGTGTCAGGCTTCTTGAGATGATAAACGCCTGTATGAGGAACATAATTCACCTTGCCATCTTGAACTTGGAGACGCTCAGGTGGAACCCTCTCAGCACAGTTAGTGATGACTTCACTCATAAATGCTCTGTAATCTTCCAGAAACTTGGGGTTTTCTTGAATTGTGCTTTCAACTGATTCCATCGCTTCAAGGCAAGGACTCTGTTGTGTGGCAAGGAAATGTCATCAGAGGACAAAGGAAGGGGCATCTCATAATGCCCATCTAGTCGCTTCTTGATGCCAGCTTCCAGGATACTGATGAAGCGTGAATCTTCAGCAGAGAAGGGTTTACCCTTGACACTTGTCTGGGAAAAATCTGACTCTAGAACCTGAAGCACCTTCTCTGGGTTCAAGATGTCTTTGGTCTTTGTGCCGTATACAAATTAGGGGTAGGCTTCACTTGCCATCATTTTGTTGCAGACGCCGACGTCATCATCTACCGGCGATTTGCAAACTCGACCAATGACTCCCCATCCCAGTAGAGACTTCTGCGCATAGGGATCATTCTCTCCTCCTGCAACAACTTCTCTTGGGCGTAACACACTTGGGCAATTACTCCCAATAAACAGGGATATCTCGAGGGTGGAGTCGTACGGCATCATCCGCTCAGCAACATGCTTGAGGTGGCTCCACTGCTTCACTATGTCCGACTTCGGTATTTGGGATTTCTTCGCAGGTACAGCAGCACGTGAATAACACACAGGAAGTTTAACGAGGTGCTCTCGGTTGGCATCCAGTACCTCAAGGCCTGTGATGCGCTGGCTCCTGACACAGGCGTTTCTTTCTTGCATTGTCGTTAGAAGCAAATGTGTGTCAGGTCCTTGTATGTTAAGTCTGTTGCACAGACTTTCTGAGACAAAGCAGTTGTTAGACTGATCATCGAGGACAGCATATTCTAAGGTTTCCTTGCTAGGATTGCTCGCTGAACGCACCAACACAGGAACTATCATGCAGTGTTCTCCTTCACCATCTTGACCCGGATGAGAACAAACATTCAAACAGTTGGATGTTCCTTCCACAGGTTTGGGTTGTTTCGGCATTGCAACTGGAGCTTGTGACTGACTTGGTGGTGTAGCTGCCTGTGCTTGGTTGCGAGCTTCTCGATGGAGACATGTCAGGTGAGGACCAGAACAAGTACTGCAAGTTTTCTTGTTCTGGCAATCTTTCACCTGGTGCTCAGAACTTGCTGCACATCCCGTACAAATTCTTCTCTTGAAGAAAAAGTCCTTCCGTTCAGAGAAGGTTTTGCGCATAGTGAAGGGGGGAAATGCACCTTGCCCATGGATTTGTCTCCAATGTTCAATCTCGCCTCTCCACTTGGTCTCGAGATTGAAGGGTAGTTTTTAAACCAAATGTGCATTCTCATTTGCATAGTCAAGCATACCTAGGCTCGTAGTGGTTGATCTTGCAGCCTCAACTTCCCCAGAAAGTCGGAGAATTCACGCAGGCCTGCTGCATCTCTTGGGGATATTCTCGACCATTGTCGCAGTTTGCTTGTGAAAGCTGTGCTGACAACACTGCTGTTACCATACCTCTCCTTCAGTACACTCCTGGCCTGAATGTACGCATCTTCCGTTCCAATGAGCATATAATGCCCAATCAGGTGTTTTGGTTTACCGCTCATGTACTGGTTGAGATCATTCATCTTTGTGTCCACATCAAGTGGTTTCATGTCAACCAGTGCCTTGAAAGAGTTTTCCCACATCGGGAACTGAAGGGGATCACCAGAGAAAACTGGTATGGTTATCTTTGGTAGCTGGCTAGATGCAACTAGGCGTTGGTTTACATCGTGCTGCTGTCTACTGCACTCTGTCAGTTGTGAAATGCATTTCTCAAGCACTGACGACATCGTCATCCATTCTCATCCATTCTGGTGATGAAACTCTGGTGCACTTGCTTGTTCATCACATCCGGCCTGCTCAGCTGACGAAACCAAGTGGGGTGACATGTTGTCCACTGATGCACTTACATCTTTGGGGATGGGTGTACACGGAGGGGGGGGAATGCTCGCCCTGTTGCGAGTTGAGAAATTTCTGCATGTGTTCACTTTTATTGGCAGCGATGTCTGTCACATCTGTCAACTCTGATGTTAACGAACTCCGGGCCTCGGACTCTTCAATCACCTGCCTGACCGCTCGGGTCTCTGCTAGTTGTTTTTCTAGTTGTAGTTGTTCCAGCTTCTGTTCCCTCTCGATCTTCATCGCCTTGACATGCAATTAAACTTCTTAAGAAAACTCACTGCAAAGCAGCTGCAGTGACAGGAGGGTTAATGAGAATTAAGCATAAATGTTTAGGAATAAAAGATACAGACAATATACACCCCAGCCTTTGAAACAGGAATTCACAATGACGCAGTCAGGTTACCTACCTGTGGGAGTCTCAAGGTATTTTGCAATGCTCCATCTGCAAATGCAAAATGGAAAGCCGCTCGAAACAGTAGGGCTTCATACTGATTAGAACAAAGGAAATGCAAAGCAGGAATGATACGCCGCAGTAAAACAATCGTAATAGGGCAGCATTGATCGCGCCGATCGTACGGGCGGGGGCAACCATCTAACATTCGTTTCACAATGAAATGTTTAGTTATGTCATGGGAACCCTGCAAGCGAAGTGAAGACACAATCCCTGAGACATACGATGCAACAGTAGCTGAAGCGTACCAATTAACGGACAAAAATGCAATGAAGTGCACGAGCTGCTGCAATGTGGGACTAGAAGATGTATTAAAAAAACCATGGCGGGAAATAAACCAACGGAAAAATTGCCAAGCACAAAACTGAATGGGTACGCGGGGCGACTGAGTCAGTGCAGAATGTGTGGAGTAGCTGCAACCTTGCAAGTGCACTATTCGAGAAAGGTGCTAAATCGTTCCAACATGGCGCAAGAAATGGATTGACCCACAGGCATACACTTGTCGTAATAAAATGAACTGTCTAACGAAAAACCCAGTAAATCATAGTCATCGGGGTGAACAGGGAGTAAACGAAAAGCCGATTTGGCCAGAAGGGCTCTGGAACCAAACTAGAAACCAATTCAACAGCATCGTCAAAAGCCGTATAAGACACCGCAGCCCTGGCTCGGTCAATATGATCAT